TTCTTCTTCTTCTTCTTCTTCTTCTTCTTCTTCTTCTTCTTCTTCTTCTTCTTCTTCTTCTTCTTCTCCTTCTCCTCCTCCTCCTCTCTCTCCCTTTCCCTCTCCTTCTTTTTGGTTTTCGAGACAGGGTTTCTCTGTGTAGTTTTGGTGTCTGTCCTGGATCTCGCTCTGCAGACCAGGCTGGTCTCGAACTCACAGAGATCCGCCTGCCTCTGCCTCCCGAGTGCTGGGACTAAAGGCATGCGCTGCCGGTGCCGCCACCAGCTCTGTCTGTCTTCTTGATGGCTGCATCTGCCGTCACTACGCACACTGCCTGGTGTAGAATAAATGCTCAGCAAACTTGTAAACAAATCAAAGACCCAATAGCTAGTAGGTATGCCAGCCTCATGTCTGTCATCCTAACACTCAAGAGGTAGAGGCTTGAGGATCAAGAGTTCAAGGCAATCATCATCTACAAAGTTAGTTCAAGGCTAACTGGCCTTCTTGAGACCTTTGAAAACAAAAACAAACTAACTCAGTAGGTGGTGAGTGGGGCCATTCCAGGTACCCCCGGGAAGTCTGGAGCCCCAGCTCTCCTTGTAACCTCCTTCCCTTTGGGTCCCTCCAGGAAGCCACTGGAGCAGGATGCAGACCACTTTCCACCTCTGCTGCGTCTCCTGGAGAAGAAGCAAGAGCTAGCGGCTGCGGACCAGGGTCTACAGGCCCAGAAGGAGGTGAGCCTCAGTTGCTGAAACTTGGGGGTTCACCAGACACACACTGGTGGCGCCCAATGGGGGGGTTACACCGTCTGGGGTGAGTCTACTCCGAGTCCTGATGTCCTTATCTACCAAAGGAAGATCTAGTGAGAGCATTTGGTACAAATGCATGTGTATACATTGAGCACCTACTATGTGGCGTGCTCTGCACTGGCCCTTGTCCTCTGGAGTTTCACAGTCTGTACAGGAAAATAGGTGTCTAGGTAGGGGTTGCTGTGCCGGAAGGCACTGGGACTATCGGATTCTGGAGGAAACGAACCTCTACTCCCCGGTGAGAGTGGACAAGCAGGGCTTCCTGGAGGAAGGGAGGGAGGACTTAGAGACTGAAGGAGGGCAAGCCGGATAATGCAGCAAAGGAAGAAAGGAAAAAGAAACAGGAAAGGAGAACATGAAACACACACACACACACACACACACACACACACACACACACAAAATTCAAGGACAAAGCTCAGAGGGTCATGAAGTGGAGAGATGGCTGCTCTTACAAAGGATCTGAGTTCAGGTTCCCGCACCCACATCAGGGGGCTCACAACAGCCTGCGACTCTGACGCCCCCTTCTGGCCTCTTCAGGCACTGCACTCACGTGCACACACACCCTCCCCTAAACACACACAATGTAAAACATAAAAATACTTTTAAGAAAATGTTCAGAGGGTCAGGTGGCTGGAACGTGGAGTGTCTGGAGGAGAGGAGGTGTGAAGAGGTTGGGGGTTAGCATTCAGGGACCACGGGAGGGCATAGCGCGTGAGCCAGGGAGCCACTGCAGCTGGGAGCGTTAGGTGACCTGACACGCACACACCTCTAATTGCACCCCACGCCAAGGAGTTCCGCAGCACGATGGCCACCCTGCGCCAGCGCTGGGCGCAGCTGGAGCAGAAAGAGCAGGCGCTGAAAGAGTCCTTCATCCGCTTTGACAGATTCCTGCAGGTCAGTGGATGCTGAGGGCCGGAGGCGGGTCACAGGTTGCCACTCTAAGAGTGGCCCCCACCTAGGAAAGCCGCCTGGAGTGGGGAGATCAGATTGCCAGAGGGTGGAGGGGGAGCGAGGACCCCGAATCACAGCTCGTGGATGAACACAACCTCCGCGACGCGCGTGGCTTAGAGTGCCAGTGTCGCGGCTTGGTGGAGGCCGGAGAGCGGCACGAGTCCTGAGGCTCCCTGATCTCCGTCCTCCTCCTAGGACGCCGAGGCCCGGCGGGGCCGCGCGCAGCGGAGAGCAGCGGAGGAGGGGCACGGAGTGCGACACCAGGAGGCAGAGGCGCAGCGGCTGCGCGCACAGCTGGAGGAGCTGCGGCGGGAGCGCGCGCGGCTGCAGCGCAGGCTGCGGCGCCTGGAGCCCTGCGCGCGCCTGCTGGAGCGCGTGCTGGAGCAGCTGCCGGAGGTGAGAGGCGCCGGGGGCCCGGGGACCGCTTTGTTCCAGTGCAGTAATCAGCACTGACTGTATACAAGAGACAGAACTTACTGAGTGCTCACTGCATACCAGGGACGCACTTTGTTCTCCAGTCATCCCTTAAGTCCGATCAAGTGGGTCCTGTTATTGTGAACCCCATTTTACAGGTCAAAAAACAGTTGCAGGAAGTTCATTGACACTCAAGGTTAGGCAGTTAAACAAGTGTGTGTGTGTGTGTGTGTGTGTGTGTGTGTGTGAGAGAGAGAGAGAGAGAGAGAGAGAGAAAGAAACAGAGACACAGAGACAGAGACAGAGATAAAGAGAAAGACAGAGGGAACAGATAATAAATTTTATTATTTGTAGAAGGTTGGGTTTGGGAGAAGTGTGTGTGTGTGTGT